GCAACGCTCAGGATGCTGCAGGAGGGTGTGGAATTTGCTGGAGAAGTGCGGCCCATGACTTTTTGCACAGACAAGTCGCTGGGGTTGGGCCATTTCGGGGAGGAGGGGCCCCGCACCATGGCCCAACGAAAGGAAGGGGAGCTGCCGCCGTGGTTTTTGCACTACAAGACGTTCGCCGAAGCCACGAAGCACGGGATCCTCATTGTGAACCTCACCCGGTCCTACTTCAACTCCGTGGCCTGCATGTGGGAGTTCGGCTACCTGCAGAGGCCAGAGCTCGTGCACGTCTTCGTGCCGGGCATGCCAGGGCATCCGCCAAGGATTGCAAAGTGGGAGGAGCAGAGTCGTTCCCAACGTACCACCATGTTTGATGAACCCCTTTTCGGGATCCTTCTTAAAACTAGCCCGAAATAAATTCATCGAGCCTACAGCGGACACCCCTGAGGAGCTGGCACGAGATGCCTCGCTGTGCGTGCGGGCCTTCAGAATCCAAGGCCATGATGGGCAGCAGCAGCTGATGAATTCATTGGAAGATCCGCGGCGGCTTCTGGATCCTCATCATGCTGAGTCCGTGCTGACAAGGATCGAAGAGTTGCAGCAGCGCGAGAACAAAGAGCTGCGAAAACAGGAAGCCTGGTGCCAATTGCCCCTTGCGCAGCTCAGTCATACGCTGGCCGTCTCTTACTTTGGAGAGACGTCTACGCAAGCCATGGGTTGGCAGAATCGGTTGGCATCACTTTGCCTCCAAACCGGGCAAGCCTTGGAGGCACGCAATCTGGGTGAGCGGCTGTATAAGTCGATAGAGCGGGCGTACGGCCCAGAGCACTCACACGTTGCCACGACTCTGAACGAGTTGGCCAATGCCTGCGGAGATCTTGGAGATCANNTCATCGAGAAAAGAAGCGGCTCCTGGCGAAGGCCTTGGTGATTGAAGAGCGGGAGTTCGGCACGGAGCACGCAAGAGTTGCCAGGACTCTGAACAATTTGGCCAATGCCTGCGGAGCTCTTGGAGATCATCAGGAAGAGAAGCGGCTGCTGGAGAAGGCCTTGGTGATTAACGAGCGGGAGTTCGGCACGGAGCATGCAGAAGTTGCCAAGACTCTGAACAATTTGGCCGGTGCCTGCGGAGATCTTGGAGATCATCGAGAAAAGAAGCGGCTTCTGGAGAAAGCCTTGGCGATCAAAGAGCGGGAGTTTGGCGCGGGACACGCCGAAGTTGCCATGACTCTGAACAATTTGGCCAACGCCTGCGGAGCTCTCGGAGATCATGGAGTAAAGAAGCGGCTCCTGGAGAAGGCCT